GATATTATCACACTACGCAAATGACATATGTACGTATAATTACAATGAAATAATCATCGACTTCGATATTGTTATGACGGAACAATAATATTACAGTTTTACTATATTCAAAATCACATATATGATCACTTAAAAATGCACGCGTGATCTGTTGTACAACAATCTGATTGTTTGTATAAACTATAAAAAGGTAGAATGTACGACTATTTCTTACTAAAAAAATTTTTCATCCTATCCCAAAAACTAAATACATAAATAACCATGTCTACTTCTGCTGGAGAAAAAATTCCTCTTCCTACGATCAATGAAGTAGAAGGATGGACCGAAACGGAAGATCTAATAAATTTTCTGAGCAAACAAGGCTTAGGACTTAAAGATAAACATTTCAAAATTCTTGAAGATCAAGAAATTGATGGCATATCCTTCCTTAGGTTGAATGTAGATAAGCTCACGAGCTATGGTTTAAAAGGAGGGCCAGCTGAAAAAATCTCGATGTTAATTGAGAAAATTAAAGGCGAAGGACAGGGTAAGTAGTACCACGACTGCATTCGAATATGCGGAGCATAGAGTCTTATTGTGGAACAATGGCACTTACATGCCTGACTCATATTCCAAACCTATACTGCTTTCTCCGCAATAATTTCATTTATTAACTTGTGCCTCATACATTTATTCCTATTATATAGAGCAACAGCTTCAAGGTTTGTTAATTCATGTAATCCTACTCACTAAAGCATTATATTCTTAAAAAACCAATTTTTTTCATGGTGTTTTTTTTTTTCTTTACTGCTATCAAACGCGAAAAAAAATAACCAACTTATGTGTATTATCTTCTCCATAATAGTAGCTCCCTCCATATTATTAGCATCGGAAGGTAAGTTCTAATTTTTCTAACCCTCCCTTTTTCTTTTATTCTTGCTCTTACGTTCCTACAATATTTCATTATCTTAGACATTACTCTTGAAATAATAAATCAGTTAATCCGAGGCCCTGATCAGCTTCCTAATAAATTTGACTTGGCAAATTTCCTTAACGAAAGTCCTCCAGTAAAAATACTACTTGCACCTAATTATTATTTCCAATTTAATACTAGCCTGGGCGGTATAACTAAAGAAGAGCGAGATACATATTTTGTACTAAGTACAGAAGCGGAATGCACTTCACTTTATTTAAGAC